TAATTTTCAATTAGTTCAAAAAAAAAAAAAAAAAAAAAAAAAGATAAATAAGTAAACAATTCAAAAAATTATATTTTTTTTCCAAGAATATTATTTATATTTATTATATATATATATATGTATATATAAGAGTTTCTATAAATAATTTCTGATTTATTATTTATCTAAAAATTTTAAATTTTCTTCTTTTTTTTTTTTAGTTTAAAATCAAGAATTATTAAAAAAGATAATAAAAAAAAAAAAAAAAGTTTTCAAAATAAAATATTAGTTTATATAATTCCACTTCAATTCTATATTTTCTTCCTTATTTTTATTTATATTAGAAATACTAAGTAATTGTTTAAAGAATACATTTATTTTTAACTCATTAGAAAATAAGAAATATCCTACACATTTAGGTTTGTTTTTAAAATATTTACCAATATATTTTAATTCGTTTGATATTTGCCATTCTCCACTTATAAAATTTCCTTTACACCATTCTCCAAAATACTGAAAAAAAAAATAAAAAATATATACACATATATACATATATATATATTTAATATAAAGTATTATTTATTTTATTTATTTTTTATTTTTTTTTTTTTATAACATATTCTTTTGTTGAATAAAAATAATAAATTCCTTTTCCATTTTTTTTATTATTTATCCATTCTCCATAATAAAAATCACCATTAGGATATTTTTGAAAACCTATTCCTTTTTTCTTCCCATTCTCAAAATTTCCTTTTTTTTTTTTTTTAAAAATTACAAAATTTTATTCATTATTTAGCTATTTTCTTTTTCTTTTATTTTTATTATATTTTTCTCTTTTTATTTTATAATTACCATAATAAAATTCATTTTCGCTCTTGATCAATTTTCCTAGACCTGATTTTTTTCCATTTAAATAAAATCCTTCATATATACTTTTATTTGAATAATAATATTTTCCTTTTTTCTTTTCTCCATTTTCAAAAGTACCAACAAATTTGTCTCCGTTTTTATATTTTACATTTGCTTCACCTGTTTTTTTTTTTTATTTTTTTATTTTTTCAATTTTAAATATTATATATAATTTATACATTTAAACAAGATATACCTGAGTAATTTCGTTCAAAGCTTTTGCATACTTCCTTTTCTCCTAGAAATTCTATCATTCTTACTTTTTATAATTTTTCAAAACCCTATTCCTATACATATATATTATAAATAAGAATTCAATTTCTACCTTTTTTTTTATAAACTATTTTAAATAATTTATCTAATGTAAGAGTTATTTTGAAGTCTTATTTATTTTATCTATTTTTTTATTAAATATTTAAAAATATATATATAAATGTATACATATATATATATATATATATATATATATATATATATATATATATATATATATATAAAACGTTTTATTAATGTTTATATTTCTTAGATGTAATATTTTAAGTTAAAAATAATGTTAGTTATAAAATTCAAATAATATATTAAAATGAAAAAATATTATTTTTTCTTAATTTTTGAATATAAAAACTACCATATATATTCTTATAGAGAAAGAAAAAATAGGTTTATTTGTGTGTTCAAAAAAGTAAGTTTTATAACATTTTTTGTATTATTTTTATTTTTATTTTTCTTTTAATTTTTCTTCATTTTGTGTGCAATTAAAATATTTTTTATTATATAAAAAAAAAAAAAATAAATATTAGTGTTAAATGTTAATTAGCAAAAAGAGAGAATCAGAAAGACAATATAATTATTATTGATTTATTTAAAAGAAAAAAATGATATTGCATTAAAAATTATAAATTAATCAAAAATTATATTTTAATATATAAATAGAACATTATAAATATATTCATATAATTAAAATAAAATAGACAGTGTATTTTTATAGTATCATAATTCTAAATATAGAAAAATATAAATGATTATAAAACAAAAATAAAATAAATTTATTATATAGTATATTTTCTTGTTACCTATTTTATAATAAAAAAAAAAAAAAAATAAAATAATTAAGATGCTTATAAAAAATAAAGAAAAAGAGTCTAAATCTATAAAGAGTAATGAAGAAAATAAACAAAAAAAAAAAAAAGAAAAAATGAAAAGCACAATTAATATAATGGATAATAAATTAGCAGCAAAAAAAAGAATCAATCCAGTATATAAAAATAATAAAAATGAAACTTTTTCAGATAACAAAAAGCATTATCTTAATGATATTGATAAAACATTATTAAAAGAAGATATATCCTGTATTAGTTACGCTTATAAAAATTTAAATGAACAAAAATTTTCAAAAAAAAAAATAAAAAATATATCAGAAAATAACAAACTTCTTGAAGTTTTATCATTAGAAAATAAAAATAAAAAAAGTGACAATAATTATAATTTAGACAAAAATATTCATTCACTTATTTATGATACATTTATAAATAAAAATTTAAAAATAAACCCTCAAAATTTTTTTGAAAAAAGTGATATAAAAGAAAAAAAAAAAAAAAAAGCTACATTAAACTTTAAAAAACCAAATATTTTAAATTCTCTTGGAGTAAGTAGCAATTTTAATAATTACAAAAAAAAATTAGCAAATGATTCTAAAAAAAATTTAATTGCTAATAAAATAGAAAAAACTTATGTAGATAATTTTGCTGAAATTAATGAAACAAATGAACAGGAGAATTTAATACAAAATTTTGATGATATTTCATTAGAGAAAAAAACAAAAAAGGATAATAAAAATGCTTTTACACAAACTAATTTTTATTATGATGAAGAAGAGTTAAGATTTATTTCGAATTTCTTTGCTAAAAAAATTATTAACGAAGCATTTATCCAAATTACATATGAACAAAATTTGAATCAAATTGAAGAAAAATCCAAATTCATTAATTCAAATGATCAAGCTAATAAACAAATATTTACTCATTTAACTGATTGTCAACATAATAATTTAAATATAATGAAAGAGAAAAATAAAATTACAAAGTAAACTTTTTAAGAACATTATAAAATTTCATAATTTATCTCTATATCTAATCATTTAAATATTTATGTGCTATTTTATCTAATAAATATATTTCTTCATTTATTATAATAAATATTATTTTTTATTTTATTTATATTTTAGTTTTTTACAAATATTTAATAAAATAAATGTTTTTTCAATATCTCGTAATATAATAAATTGTTTAATGAATGAAAATATTGTATCTATAAAGGAGGTGAAAAAAAAAACTATATATATATATATATATATATAAGCTATTTTTGTAATAATATTTAATGTTATAAAATGTATTTTATTTTGTTTTTTATATATATTTTTTTTTTTTTTTTTTTTTTTTGTCCAAAAGAAAAATGAGTTAAAAAAAGCAGAAGAATTAGAATGGTTTAATAAAGTTACAAAACATTTATTAAAAAATACAGTAGCTTTTTTAGCAACAGAAAAAGTATAAAGAGAAAAAGAAATTATGTCTAAAATTGTATTTTATAATGTTTAATTTATAAACTTCTTTTTTTTTTTTTTTTCATAGATTGTATCATTTTTAACTGAAGAATTAATTGAAGATAGTCTACTAAATTTTTGTTTGTTTAATGAAGATGATATTTATAAAATTAATGAAAAATTAAACAATAAAAAAATTACTTCACATAAAAAAAAAAAAATAGAAAAAGGATACATTAATTTTTTACTTCTTAATGGTATAATTTATATAAATAATAGTATATGTTTTTTCATTTATAATTATTCTTTTTTAATTTTCTTTTTTTTTTTTTTTTTGTATTTTCAGAAAAAATAAAAATATATATACCAATAAAAGTAAAAGAAGATATGAATTTAGATGATATAATAAAAAAAATAAAAAATTTTATAAATAATAAATTAGGTTTTTTAAGAAAAGAATATAACTTAAATTTTATATTTATAAAAAACAAAGAAAATTATGTAATGGTTTGATAGCATAAAATTGCTTTAATATTTAATTTAAAAAAAAAAGATAAATCACCATACTTTATTATAATTTGAGAATTCCTTTTTTTTTTTTTTTTTTTTTTTTTTTTTTTTTTTT